CAACAAGTGAAAGAAACCATACTAAGAAGGCTACATGCTGCTTGATTTCATTTGTATGATATTCTGGTAAAACTATAGGTACAAAAAACAAATCAGTGGTTGCCAAGGTTTGGGAGTAGGGGTAGAAGTTGTTGACAAGGAATGGGGAAATTTTGGGAGTGATGAAACTGCTTTAAATCTGTTTTTGTTTTTTTTTTTGTTATTGTTGTTTTTTGATACAGAGTCCTGCTCTATTACCTAGGCTGGAGTGCACTGGCACAATCTAGGCTCACTGCAACATCTGCCTCTTGGGCTGGCCTTGAGTGTCTGTGGCTTTTCCAGGTGCAGAGTGCAAGCTGTCAGTGGATCTACCATTCTGGGATCTGTAGAACAGCGGCCCGATTCTCACAGCTCTACTAGGCAATGCCCAGTAAGGACTCTGTGAGGGATCTAATTCCACATTTCTCTTCTGCATCCCTAGCAGAGATTTTCCAGGAGGCCCCCACCCCTGCAGCAAACTTTTGCCTGGGCATCCAGGTGTTTCCATACATCTTCTGAAATCTATGTGGAGGTTCCCAAACCTCAATTCTTGACTACTGTGCACCCACAGGCTCAACAACATGTGGAAGCTGCCCAGGTTCGGGGTTTGCATCCTCTGAAACCATAAGCCAAGCTGAACCTTGGCCCCTTCCTTTTAGCAACAGCTGGAACAGCCAAGACACAGGGCACTAAATTCCTAGGCTGCACACAGCATCAGGATTCTGGGCCCAGCCCACAAAACCATTTTTTCCTCCTAGGCTTCTGAGTCTATAATGGGAGGGGCTGCCATGAAGACCCATGACATGCCCTGGAGACATTTTCCCCATTGTCTTGGAGATTAACATTTGGCTCCTTGTTACTTATGCAAATTTCTTCAGCCAACTTGAATTTCTCCTAAAAAAAATGGGGTTTTCTTTTCTACTGAATTGTCAGGCTGCAAATTTTCTGAAATTTTATGCTCTGTTTCCCTTTTCTTTCTTTTTTTAAAATTTATTTTATTGCATTTAAGGTTTTGGGGTACATGTGAAGAACATGAAAGACTGTTGCATAGGTATATACGTGGCAGTGTGATTTGCCGCCTTCCTCCCCATCACCTATATCTGGCCTTTCTCCCCATGCTATCTCTCCCCAACTCCCCACCCCCCACTGTACCTCCCCTATTTCCCCCCAACAGACCCCAGTGTGTAGTGCTTCCCTCCCTGTGTCCATGTGTTCTCATTGTTCAACACCCGCCTATGAGTGAGAACATGTGGTGTTTGATTTTCTGCTCTTGTGTTAGTTTGCTGAGAATGACGGTTTCCAGGTTCATCCATGTCGAAAGAAACAGTCATTAGAGTGAATCGGCAACCAACAGAATGGGAAAAAATTTTTGCAGTTTACCCATCTGACAGAGGGCTGATATCCAGAATCTACAAAGAGCTAAAACAGATTTACAAGAAAAAAACAAACAAGCCCATTCAAAAGTGGGCTAAGGATATGAACAGATACTTTACGAAAGAAGGCATACATGAGGCCAACAAACATATGAAAAAATGCTCATTATCAGTGGTCATCAGAGAAATGCAAATCAAAACTACATTGAGATACCATCTCATGCCAGTTAGAATGGTGATCATTAAAAAATCTGGAGACAACAGATGCTGGAGAGGATGTGGAGAAATAGGAACACTTTTACACTGTTGGTGGGAGTGTAAATTAGTTCAACCATTGTGGAAGACAGTGTGGCGATTCCTCAAGGACCTATAAATAGAAATTCTATTTGACCCAGCAATCCCATTACTGGGTATATATCCAAAGGATTATAAATCGTTCTACTATTAAGGACACGTGCACACGAATGTTCATTGCAGCACTGTTTACAATAGCAAAGACCTGGAATCAACCCAAATGCCCATCGATGATAGACTGGACAGGGAAAATGTGGCACATATACACCATGGAATATTATGTTTCCCTTTTCAAATGGAGTGCCTTTAATAGCATCCAAGTCACCTCTTGAATGCTTTGTTTGCTGCTTAAAAATTTCTTCTGTCAGTTGCCCTAAATTATGTCTCTCAAGTTCAAAGTTCCATAAATCTCTAGGGCAGGGTCATATTGCCACCAGTCTCTTTGCTAAAATATACAAGAGTCACCTTTGCTCCAGTTCCCAACAAGTTCCTCATCTCCATCTGAGACCACCTCAGCCTAGACCTTAGTGTTCATATCACTATCAGCATTTTTGTCAAAGCCATTCAACAAATTTCCAGGAGGTTCTAAACTTTCCTACGTTTTCCTGTCTTCTTCTGAGCTCGCCAAACTGTTCCAACCTCTGCCTGATATCCAGTTCCAAAGTTGCTTCCACATTTTCAAGTATCTTTTCAGTAACACCCCATTCCTGGTACCAATTTACTGTATTAGTCTGTTTTTATACTGCTGATAAAGACATACCCCAGACTTACAGTTGTAAGAGCTGTAATTAGACTTACAGTTCCACATGGCTGGGGAGGCCTCAGAATCATGGCAGGAGGTAAAAGGCCCTTCTTACATGGTGGCATTAAGAGAGAATGAGGAAGATGCAAAAGCGGAACCCCCGATAAAACCATCAAATCTTGTGAGACTTACTCATTACCATGAGAACAGTATGAAGAAAACTGCCCCCATGATTCAAATTATCTCCCACTGGGTCCTTCCCATAACATGTGGGAGTTATGGGAGTACAATTCAAGATGAGGTTTGGGTGGGAACACAGGGCCAAACATATTGATATGTTATACCTTGGCTGGGTTTGGTGGCTCACACCTGTAATTCCAGAACTTTGGGAGGCTGAGGTGAGCGGATCACTTTGGGCCAAGAGGAGTTTGGGACCAGCCTGGCCAACATGGTGAAACTTGGTCTCTACTAAAAATACAAAAATTAGCCAGGTGTGGTGGTGCACACTTGTAATCCCAGCTACCCCAGAGACTAAGGCAGGAGAATCACTTGAACCCAGAAGACAAAGGTTTTAGTGAACTGAGATCACACCACTGCATTCCAGCCTGGGAGACAAAGCCAGACTCTGCTTCAAATATATATGTGTGTGTATATATATGTATGTATGTGTGTATGTGTGTGTGTGTATATATATATATATACATATATATACACACACACACATATACATACATGTGTATATACATACATATATGTGTATGTGTGTGTGTATATATATACACACACATATATATACACACAAACATATGTATACATACACACATATATGTATCTGTATATATACACATATACATACATGTGTATATACATACATATATACGTGTATGTGTATATATATATGTGTGTGTATATATATACAAGGTGGCATATATATATACATATATATATACACATAGATACATATGTATGTTCATAGATATGTGTTTTGCTTCAAATATATGTGTGTGTATACACACACACAGATATGTTATACCTCAACTTACTGTAAACATACATTTCAAAACTTCAATTGGAAAAAAATAATAGACAATTTTTCAAATATTTAAAAAAAGCCAACTAGCAAAAATAATACATGGTTAAAACAGAGAGAAAACTCAGGATGAAGAGCTGACTGGCTGCATAGCTCTGAGTGGAGTGAATGCTTATGAGGAAGAATCTGCTCCTGCTTGGTGTGTACCTTAGATACGCAGAAGAGGAAACACTGCTTTTCCAATTCATTACATCTACAGAATCACAACCAACTCATCCATTCACATCATAAGCTCTTAAATGGCATTTTGTTTGTTTTTCAACCAAAGAGCTTACTCCTGTAATTTATGATTTGAAGAGTTCTTTGCTCTTTTACCCATGTAAGCAAACCCATAGTATTACATTCTTGAACATTCAGGTATCATTTCTTAACACAAACCTATTTTCTCTTCATATAGAAAACACAGAGTGACTGGTTTGTAACACAAAAATATATATGTCTGAAGATTTGACAGGCCTAAATTAGGTAACTTACATGCTATTTAATGTGTATTGATCTCTCCTGACTTCATAAGTTTTGCTAATCATTACTTTCCCTTTAAACTGCCACCTTATCTATATCAAATGTAGAATATACCAGAAAGAGCATTGGATTTGGCATTACGAGTGCTGGGTTTTAAGGTCACCTTAACCCTACACTAGCTGTATGGCCTTGGTAAAATGACTCATCTCCCATAACTAATTCTTATCTTCAGCTCTTACCTATCTTCGGGCTTTAGTTATAAAACTTCAAATTTCTACAGACACACCACCTCTCAGGCAGCATTTAATTTTTCAGGAATGTAGTTTCTTCTGGATCTTTTATTGTTACCCAAATTATAATTGTTATTTGTTCATGTATTCATGCCGCAGTTCTTCAACTGAGCTTCTTCAACAAGATTATATGTTGTTTTAAGGGGAAGAAATTATCCATATATACATCTTTGTCTCCTTACACTATCACAAAATAATAGCTTAAATAGGCCAGTGTGCTGCTACAATTACTTGAGCTTACATATACCAGTTTGAGAAGATAATCACTTGACTTTGCAAAAAATACAGCCAAGTTTGACCTACTCGTAGTTTTTCAGAGCCTTCCCTGACCACACATGCTGAGCCTGCTCATGCCGTTCCCCTCCACTGACCCATCCATGCCTCCCATCACCGTCTACATCCTCATTTTGTTTTAGCTTGTTCATGGCATTTACGCTCTCCGAAATAACCTTTCCCCCTCCTTCTTTCTTTTCCTGACTCTCTCCCTCTCTTTCCTTTCTCTGTCTTTTTCCTAATCTATTGTCCAAAGGCCCCTCCTAGGATTTAAGTTCCATGAAAACGCAAACTGATCATGCTCATTAAAAGTAGTGCATTGGGAACCTGCACCCGGGGCTGGCACATGGGAGGCACTCAATGAATACTTGCCGAGTAGTTGAACTTGCCCTTCAGTATAGTGATGCCTGTTGCAGACTGATCAGTGGAAAGAAACAAAAATACTTCACGTGGTTTACCTGCAAAGAGGTTCTACAAGGTCCTTTTCAAGAAAATCATGATCATTCTTGACAGCCACAATGTTGATGGGAAATTGTGAATCTGAGAGAGAGAGAGAGACAAAGAGGTTGATGTACTTTGCTTTATCTGAATGGGCACCAACATATTCAGACCTTCAAGGTCTGTAATAACCACTGATTTGAATAGCAGTGACTGCCCATCATCATTGTTGGTAATGTTTAAGACAGCAAACAATTTTTATCACTATAAACGCTTTTAGGAGTACGATATAAGTGCGAAATATGAGGATAGTTTGAACACTAAGCGCCTGCATTTTTTCTGGCTCGTCCTTTTCACAGTCACAGGCGGATGTGGCCTCGGAGAAGAGCTTTTCCACTCTCACCATCCACCTAACACGTAGGTCACTGGAGTCTAGCTCGGTGATTTCATTAAATACTTTGTTTGGCAGATTTTTTTTTTCCCTTCAAAAAGGAAATTTCCAAAAATATCCAAAGTTCTATTATCTCAATTTATTTTTTCTTTGGTAGCAAAATCTTGAGTCACTCTGGAGTATCAGCAAAATACTCAGACTGATTCTATCCAAAAAGAAGAATTTGAATGCTACAACTTATCTCCAACAGACAATTCGTGCCAGCTTTGAAGGTCACGGGCAATATTTAGAACAAGGTGTTAATTCTGGGTACCTCATTGATGGAGGTAGCAATCTGCAGCTCATAGAATAGAGGGCATAGCCACATGTAGCAATGCTGGGTCATTATCATTGTATTGCCACTTTTTTCTTTATCTCATATTATACTTTGTGCTGTCTACACCTTGCCAATCTTAGTGTGAGTTGGAAACAGAAATAATTCCCCTTCTGGTGAAAAAAAATCATGTGAGTGATGGTTCCAGAATGAAGCTGTCTTGCTTGGCTAGTGACGGAAGGAGGGAGACACTTGTGATTCTTTTTATGGGAGGCTGCCTCTTGCCAGCTGCGCTCCTTCCTAGGGTCTGGTTTTGTGACTTCCTAGGGTCTGGTTTGAAGCTCCTCTCTCCTCCTGGGCTCTGGCACCCTCTTCCTTGGCCTGTCCCTTTGGGCTCATGGTAGTGACAGCTCTGCCACTAAAAGCCCTGGATCCTTGCACTGTGCACTGTTCCTTGTGGCTCCCCGTCCTGCCTGCACCTTTGTAATGAGCACTGTTAGAAATAAATCCTCTACAGATGGCCTTGTGCCTGCCATCTGCTCACTGGTGGGGTCCTGACTAGTTCATTACTATATAAGGACAATCCAAGAAGAAGTTACAAGATTGGGTTATAATTTTAGATTATAAGGCACATGAATATGTCTATTAACTGTCAAAGAATCAATGAAAGGGCCAGGCAGTGGCTCACACCTGTAATTACAGCACTTTGGGAGGCTAAGGTGGGCAGATCACTTGAGGTCAGGGGTTTGAGACCAGCCTGACCAACATGATGAAACCCTGTCTCTACTAAAAATATAAAAATTAGCCAGGTGTGATGGCACATGCTTGTAATCCCAGCTACTTAAGAGGCTGAGGTAGGAGAATTGCTTGAACCCAGGTGGTGAAGGTTGTAGTGAGCAGAGATTGCACCACTGCACCCCAGTCTGGTTGGCAGAGCCAGACTCTCTCTCTCAAAAAAAAAAATAAATAAATGAAAGGAAATTTAATGTTAGCAATAAAACACCTTACCTAAAACTCAGAATAACATCTGATTCATGTTATATCTTAACATTTTTCATGTAAAGTAAATAGAATTAAAGAGAAACCTCAGGACAATTAATTTTGTGACTTCTAGGAAGTTTATTAACAGTAAATTCATTGTGATTTCAAGAAAACTGAGAGTAGTAAAGGAAAAACAGGAGAAAAGGAAGAAAGTGCAGAAAAGCTGCTGATGGCAGAATACTGGAAGGAAAACATGGAGTTGGGGTTTGTGGTAAAGAGATGTGAATTGGTATCGGGAAGCAGAGAGTAAAGTGGGCCTGGGAAGCGATACTCATTTCTAAATTGGTATCAGGGTAACCCCAAAGGCTGAGGGAAAAAGAAAGCAAAGCAAAATGGGCGAGAAAAAAATCTGGAAGTCAAAACACACCACAGGATACGTGTGGTTCCTTTTGGATTTATTCTCTGTGTGAGAGCGAAGGGAAGGCTGACGTACCCTCGTATAACTGAGCGTATTGTGGGAACCCGGCAGCACGGAGCCAGTCACATGCTTCTTTTGCCTCAATTTCTGAAAAACACAAGAGAGAGAAAATTGTGAGTCCCATAGCCACACCCTAGTACTCTGCCTTCTTAATCATGGAGACACTGGTGAGCTTTGTGCAAGTTATTACAAAACAAAATTGTTCCAGGTAAGTCTGCATAAGGAGGCCTACCCAGGAGGGCCTGGAAAATGAGCAGGTAATACAAAGGTCTTTGTTATGTGTCTACTAAGATTATCTTCAGTGTAGATCCATAAGTATGTGGATAATAACAAAACCACAGATAACAGAACACAAAGGCTGAGTCTCAGGGATGGAAAAATGTCTTATTTATACACCAGGGAACCAGGGCACTAGGGGGAAAGAGGAGATTCTTCTTCACAATTCTTCTTTTTTTTTAAATGGATTTTTAGGTTTCAAAGATAAGGCTAAAAATGTTTATTCAACATTCCTTTATTCTTTCACTCTTAGGACAATGAAAAAAGACTATAACTGGATTGTCTATGAAAATGGGTTTTCTCATGAAAAAAAGGTATTGCAAAAGTCCAGTATATTGTTGTTTTTAAAATTTCACTAATGGCCTTAATTCCTCATGCATTATAACAAGATGCTCATTCATCAAGCACACTGGAATGGTTTCAAGCTTCAGAGTGCAGCATAGAAGAGAAAAGTTGATCATCTGGAATTGAGACTTGAGTTTCATGGGCCTGCTGGAATGCCTGAGGGCCAAGCCCAGGAGGTTGATATGTCCCTTGGGTGACCATTTTTGGTGTGGATGCACCAACAGCCCACCGGACCACTGCCTGGGGGAGCTGTGCAGTGAGATGGAAGGAGTCTACAGTATGTGAACCAGGTCACTTTTTGACCCTGTGAATCCTGGATCATTTCCCAACCACAACTCTGTTAGACAAATATGAATCCAAGGGAAAAGAAGTTCATCTGTCAAAAGTCCATTTTCTCCAAACAAAATTAAACAGCCTATCATCACAAGTCTTTACCAAGGCCCTTTCCTCCGCTGTTAGGATGGGTGTCCATCAGGTCATTGTGTTTCCATTTACTATGATGCTCATTTTTCCCCATAGCCAAAGCTGGAGTGTACAGGGCATTCTTGGGATTGCGGCACAGAAATGATCTACACTAACATCACCCTGGGTCTGCGACTGTACCTTAACATTGAAAGCTCGGTGTCTGTGCAGCAAGATGTTTGATGTGCCAAAGCTATTTGGTATATGTTAGGAAAATAGACCAAAGGTCAGATCTTAATCAGGCATCACCAGGTAGAGCAAAACCCTACCGCCTGGTCCCGCGGATCTGGTTACATCTAGATTGAACTTTGTCATTAAATCCAGGGAAACAGAGCTTGTGGCAGCTTCTGTCCTGGAGCGCCTGCCTCTTTTGACAACCCCTAATGTACTCTTACTACAGGGACTGACGATTTCAAAAGCTTGAGATTTATCTCTGATGTGAGGGTTTTCCATGTAAGTTTGACCAGCGTGTTCCTACCACATACTCATTTCCACCGTGGACACATGGCTCAGAAACATTCAGGGAACCAAGCTGGCACAAAAGCTTTGGAAAGCATTTCTATCAGAAAGGAAGTCTCTGAGATCTCCAACTGCTGTTCAAAACAGAGCTTCACTGAATTGTGCTGCATGGGCTAACTTGGGCTTTCCCCTGGGAAGGTACAAAACGCAATTCTTGCATTGCTCAAAAGTTCTAGTTAGTACCCAATTGAGAGTCTGTATTTGAAGGCTTCTACTCTGATAACCACACAAGTATTTCAGAGGAAACAGGAAACGCACTTTCTCTTGTAACGCATGGAAAATGTGGTGAGTTGCTACTGAGTCATGGACAAAGTGCTGCCTAATAGATTTTCAAGCTTCAGATTTGCTTTCCGCTTCCATATAATACAGTGAGTAGTAACGAGAAAACATCTAATTTCTAGACATGCTCTAAACCTAATTATGAGTCAGCAAGCCTTGGAGAGAAGCGCAGAATACCGTATTTTCTCTTGGCACCACATGAATTTTATGCCTTTTCTTGCTTTATTATTACCTTTACTACAATCAAAATGTGGTATTCAGCAAGAAAGTCCCAGAGAGCCAGGCCATGAAGAACAAATGGGGAAGACCTGCAAGACAGGGGCTCTGCAGCCTAGCAGGCTCAAAGGCAGAGTTGGAAGTGATCTATGAAAGAGTTCACACCCCTCTAGCCCAGGGAATGTGGTGAGCTCAGATCCTGATGATGAAAAGGACAGCACGGTGTAGAAGAAGTGGGCAGCTACGAATCCTTCTAGAAAACTCCCTTGGGAACGTCACATGTTTTCACTGATTTGTGGTATCTAAAAATCAAAATAATTGAACTCATGGAGAAAGAGAGCAGAAGGATGGTTCCCAGAGGCTGGGAAGGGGAATGGGGGCTGGAGGGGAGTTGGGGATAGTTAACGGGTACAAAAAAATTAGAAAGAATAAATAAGACCTACCATTTGATAGCACAACAGTCAATAATAACTTAATTGTACATTTAAAAATAACTAAAAGTATATAATTGGATTGTTTGTAATACAAAGAATAAATGCCTGAGGGAATGAATACCCCATTCTTCATGATGTAGTTAGTTCACATTGCACACCTGTATCAAAATATCTCACGTACCCCATAAATATATACACCTACTATGCTCCCACAAAAATTAAAAATTTAAAAATTTTAAAAACAACACTTTTTTTGGAACTTAAAATTCTGGTTGGACAGTGGGATGGGGCTGAAGCTAGCCAGGGAAATTTTATTTAAAAGTCTCCTCAGGTAGCAACTGCATTTTATTTTTTTTATGACACCAACATGGATAATGAACGGAAATCCGATTCAGATACAAACATAAATAACCAAATCTTAACCACAGAACCCAGATGAATCAATCATTTAAATAAGCTGATTAAAAAAAAAAAAAAAAAAAAGAATGGGTAGGCACTTAAGCTTTTAGACCTCAGGGTCAAACAACAACAAAACGGCAATTAGTAAATATCATAAATTGGAAGCAGCCAAGTCCCAGCCATGGCAGGTGGCTCATGCGGCATCACTTCCTATACCCAACTTGCCATTCTATTTGCCCAAATGTCTCTCAAACACACACCCTCTTTTCATATTCCCTCTACCCTAGCTGCAGTTCCAACATCTTGAAACCTCAATTTAAGGGCAAAACCAACTCTTTTACCAGCTAGTAACAAAACAAACAAAATAATCTGGCATAATGAACCCCTATCAAATCTGAGTTTCCCATCCAACTGAGGTGGGGGGATAAAAAGGTCTTACAATTTTTATTAATTCTCTGTGGTCCCTATTAATACCAATCAGCCAAATGCTAATGCTTTTCCCTAGGCTCTTCCACTAGCCAAAATGACTGGAGAATGAAAAAGAAATCATTATCACCAGTGCCATCATTTCACAAAGATCTACCTCATGAAATTTAAATGACATTTGAGGAGAAAAGTGTGAAGATCTCTTTTATTATTGTGCTCTTACTAGCCAGCATAATATTATGTAAGAGCATTAAGAGCTATTAAAAGCACATTTTGACAGTTTTATTTGTTCTCCATTTGCTACCTTTACCTGTCCCTGTAGCAGCTCCAGGGCTGCAAGGCAAAGCATCAGCTCACTGCAACTCTCTCATGGAAAACCTGAGTGTAGAGTGGAACCAGTGAATGGCCCTGGACAGAAGGGTCCACCGATCTCTATGGAGGTTACTGTGTTACTTTGCTGGGGAAAATCCAGTCCATTCAGCTTAGCATCATGAAAGGATTTCAATGGAATTTTTGTAATTATTCTATGTAATAATTATTTCATTTTACTCTAGCAGTTATCTATTTTGGCCTCTTCAACATCCTCCACATGTCTTCTGATAACGGAAACTCTTTCTGCAAGGAGCCTCTCCTATATCGTTTATGTAGGGTTGATGCTCCTTGCCTCCAACCACACACCCTAGCCCTGTCACCATCACCCACATAGGGTGGCCTGATTCTTAAGAGCACCCCATCCCTGTTAGCCTAAAGAGATGGAGGAGCTTTGGGACCTTAAACCAATACTCCTCTGGGGGCTGAAATCAGCTGGTTGAAAAGGGAGCTATCCAGTGTTTCTACTGGTAGCTTGGTCTAGCAAACCTTTTCACTGGTTTACTCGGTAAGTTCAGTGGATGGAATAGTGCTATGCATGCTCTTCAGCTATATAACTGCAATTCCACTGAAGGCAAAGTCACTGGCTTTGCCTCAGTTGCCTTATACATGCTTAGAGCATGGTGTGGCCACTGTCCTCAGACAGACCCAGCAGAGGGAAGCTCTCGCTAGCCCTGGGGAGTCACCCACTACCAAGGGCATGAGAACAAAGGCACCGTAGAAACAGACCATGGCTGATGCGGGTTTTCACAACATATCATTGCGTTTCTTAATTATACATGCCCAGTGTTGAAAACTTACTAATATAGAAAGTTGTGATGAATGAAAAAAGGCAACTCTTGCCCTGTTATGAGCACCCAATTTTACATACGTTATTTGTCAAAACAGTACTCTGGTAAAATCTTTAGTTGACTGCTTTTTTCACATAAGAATACACTGCAAATATTTTCTCATATAATGATAGTTTGTAAAAGATGGGAAATTTGTTTCGAGAATGATGCCTATTTTTTAAATATTTGATTTTTGAATACTGCCAATTGCATTTCCCTGTATGGAGATTATAACATCAAGGTAGCCAAGAGAAAAGAGCGCAGTAGGACCTCACCAATGTAGACAGATCAGGGAGAAGGATGGAAGTCTATGAGAGTTAAAAGTGATTTACAAGCTGCTTCTTTAATGTAGTATCTTAGCTACAGACAGTCTGTGGACAAGGCTCGGTAGGGCCTCAATCAAGTCAGGAAATACAGTAAGCACAGCAAATTTGCTGCCCAGGTTTGCAGGCCTCGTCTCATGTTTACAATCTCATTGTATTCTTAAGCTGGTGTGTCTAGCGTGTTTCCAGCGTGCTTGAGAACAGTGTGT